CAGTTTCTTGATCAGACTGTAATTCTTTAGGACATCCATATCTATAAATTATTTCTTCAAAAATAAATTTGACAATTGTACTAGCTTCTTTGTTTGAAATTGCTTTAGCTTCAGACCATTTTGTGAGTAGATCTATTGCTACAGCAATATACTAATTTTTTTTTCTTGGTTACTTTACAAGAGCTAACAAGGTTAATTATAATTCTATCAAAAGGTTATCTAACTTTAATAGGATATAAAAGTTATTTTGTTATTCATCTACCAGTTCTTTGACAAGTTTCACAAGATCTAACAAAGTTCTTTATATCTGTTCCCATTCCATTTCATCAATATCTAATAGCTATTTGTTAGTAAGTTCCATCAAATCCAAAGTGTCCAGCAAGTAAATCTGAATATATACTAGTTATTATTGCTTCAATTTTATTTTTCTTCAGTACTTGAAGTGGTATGATAGGTTCTTTTCTTTTATTCTTTTTATAAAGTACTCCATTAATAATTAAAAAGTGTTTTAATTATTGATGAATTTTCTTTTGTTGTTCTTTAGTATATCCTACAGGATAACTTTTATTTTCTAGATATCTCTTTAAGTCATAATATGTTATTAAATCTATTGTGTTGAATCAATCAGATTTGGGTAAGTTATTTAATTAGTTATTTAATAAAAATTATTTCTATTAGTTAATTAATTAATTGATGATCCAGATATAATCAGCAGTAAATTATTAGTTAGATTTGAGACAAAATACAGTAGATTAATTAGAAAATATCACAGAGACTCAAAAAGTCTCCAAATAGTAAATTTGCATACACACACTCTTTCACGTTATAATCACATGATATCATAGAAAAAAGGTCACAGATTCTGAATATTATTTAAAAATGGTAATTTTTTTTATTACTAATAACTTTATTATATATGAATAGTGGATTCCAATGTAAATTTCCAAGAAAATAAATTCGATTCAAATTTTTAGTAAGTATATTTATTATAAGAAATATGTATTTTCTAGGTTTTAGAGGACTCTGCCTCTTTAAGAAGATGTAGTGCCATAGTTTTTTTGAATGACTGTGACGTGTTCATTATCCAATTTGTGATTGTAGAAACTTTGGGAAGGTCTTCTTTGGAGAATTTATCCAGCATTACTCTTCTTAAAAGCTTCTTATACATTTCAGTAGCACTTATTTTTAATTGAGGATTTGCTGTGTCTGTATGAAATATTACATTGAGCAAACCTTTGACATATTCTATCATTCATTTTACTGGTTCTTTTTGATTAACTTTCAAATTCTCCATTAAGATCCATCCAGAAGAAAAAATAGAGATACTATCAAGAATAAAATCAATTATCAACTTGTCAATAAAATAATGATCAAGTATCATACCTTTTAAGAGTGGACAAACTGGGTAAATTAACTGAAAGTATATTTTTAATATTATTGATATTCTCTTCAATTTGCTCATTATTCAATCATTTTATATAAATTGATTATATTAGACTATTGCCAAGATTGATAAAACTATTATTAATACTATCTTGTCTAATCACTAATGGTACAGTCCAAGTTTTTGATATGTGGGTATAAGATATATAGTTTGGAGTTGGTTTTTCAAAGATATGGATTTTTGCGATCTTGTTCATCTGATCAGATGAAAATTTGTTCAATTTTTCAAATTCTGACAATGCTCAGATATATATATATCTAGCATTTTCACCTGTTTCAGGCTATATAAATTCATGTCAATTTGAAATTCTACTTATCATTTCTAATCTAACTTTTTCTATTAAATAATTATAGACTTTAATTTTTTTTTGAAGATAAATAGTGTATATTAAACTGCTGCACTTCAATATGACTCAAGGTGAGATACATGAGTTCTAGCAAGATCTTTGATAGTATTTTCTATATCTTCTCCTTGTTCTATTTCATAGCCTAATTTGATCCATCTTTTTATAGTGTGAGTAATCTAGAAATAAAAAAAAGAAATTTGTATAATAATTCCAGAATGATTTATCAACAAATCGATCTATAAGGTAAATTTTAACTAATACCTGAGCATGATGTGAATCTATTACTATTTTAGCTTCACCAGCTTCTAAAAATAACTATCTGCAAGGACTAATATCATACCATTCTTTCCAGTATCTCATAATAATCATCAATTTTGTATTATGATAATATTCTTTATTATCTGAGATAATTGTGATCCATTTTAGTTTTTGTTCTAATGTCTCAATTATGATATGTAAAGATAATGCAGTAAACTATGCATCTTGTCATGTATCTCCAGACCAATGATCAAAAGCTTTTACATTGAGTTTTTCATCTGTATCATTTTTTGTATATATAAGAACAGAATGAAGACTCCAATCACACATTTTCCAAAGAATTCATTTTTTATTTCCTATGCCTTTTATGGTAAAATCTTCATTTTGTAATCCACAATTATTATTACTCTATCAGCATCAAGTTGAGAGAATTGCGTATTAAATTGTGCATTGAGGTATATTTTTCTAGCATGATGTGTCATAAAAGCAATCAACTGGTTTTGATAACTTGGCAATTTTTGCTGTTCTTCCTCTTGCAGATTTACATGCAAAGTATTAAAAAATAAAAAGAGAGATTTGCAATTGATACACGTATCTGGATGAGGCAAATAACATTCTCTAAAAGTGTAAGGTAAGCAATGACTAATACATGAATTATGTTTTGCAATACCTGTTGAATCAACCTCCAATTTTTTTGTAAAGTCTTTTCATAGATAACATCTTAAAACTTGGCTTTGTTCAATTAATTCTTTCTGTTATAAAAAATTCTAATTAGATAAATGATATAACAATAAGCAAATAATCTTTAAACCATACCTATGTTTGTATATTTATTACATAATTTTCAATTATATTTCCAAGATCAGTAAAAACTTCATATTCATATTTATTACAAGTTAAACATAATCCTCCAAGATCATCTTTATATTGATATCATTTTTCTTGCAGGCGTGTCATAAATGAAGTTCTACCCATGCCATTTGGAAATAATTCTGAATATTTTTTTCACAATAATGTTTTGGTATCTTAAAGATATAAAACTGGTAAGTCAATTTCATTATCTGTTTTATAACTGTTCATATTCACATTTTTTTTATCTGAAAAAAATAATTCAAATTGCGTTAGAGATTCTGCTAATAACTTAACCTGATGAATTATAAGTTTGACAAGTGGAGGAGTATCAGATCCAATAATTCTTGCATATTTTCATGCTTCAAATATGGTATATGTTCTGATCTTTACATTTGATTTTTATAAATAAATATTAATTTATTTACTAAAAATAAATTATATAGAGTTTCTTACTATTAATTGAGATTCTAACTTAGAGTAAGTAAAATCATTTGCAATAATTGATAATATTCGATACTTTTTATTTGATATCTTGTTGTTATTCATTAATACACACTTGAAACAGTTCCAAAAAATTGAAGTAACATTTTGAATATGTTTAGGATTAGATTGAAGAAATTCTATTTGATGCAATAAATGTAAGATTTCTTTTTCTTTTTGAGAATTGGAGATTTTTGTCCAAAGCTGAAACTAACTATTACTTTAGTTTCTTATTTTAAATAGAAATTATAATTGAATAAAACTTACTGAAGATTCATTATGTGACCATGATATTATATTTTCACAACCTGTCACATGCAACATTGCATTCCAAGCTCTTAATTCCCAAATGCTAAATTGATAATCTTTTGGATATAATTCTTCAAGACTTGACATAAGCTCAATAATTGAATTGGTTTTTTATGCCCAAGTTTCAAAAAATTGATATCATTAAATATTAGTAAATGTTTGGTATTTTAAATTATAATTAAAAAGGGGTTTTAATAAGGAAAAAATTATCCAATTTGTTAGTAAGCATGTAGGAATCATATTTTTGTAAATAGATTCTTTGGTTTGTGAATTTTGAAGTCCAAAACAGATTGATTCCTTCAAAATTTTTTATAAAATTTGAAGATTTTCAAACTGCATTAGAAGAATTATCCACAAACTGACATTGTATTTGAGAATTTTGATGGATTTCAAGTATATAATGATTATCCTCAATAGTTGATACAAATAATACTGGTTTATCATGATATTTGTAATTGAGTGAAGATTTGTATCCTGAGCCATCATTATTCTATTCAGTACATAATGATGTTCCAATTCCATAAACAAAAATCTGATGTTTTCCAATAAAAAATGAGAATGAAAAAAAAGGAACATTTTGAGATAATTGAAAAATAATATTCTTATCATTCCATCTAATTACAAGAGGACCAGAATAGCAAGTTTTTTTTGAAAGATAAGATTATATACACATGAAACTGCGCTTGAAGAATTATTTTCTACTTTACTTGAAATAGTATCAGAGATACAAATAAATCCAGAAGCAAAAGAATTATTAGAATTTCCCACTACAATAGTAAGATAAAAAACTTTTCCATTAAGAATAGTCTTGGTAGTTTGGTCCACACAAATGGGAAAATAAGAAAGATTATCTTTTGTATTGTCACTTGAATGTTACCACCAAAAACATGAATAAGGATCATAATGCAAGTCAAACAGTAGTGAACCTACTATTATTAAAGTAACATTAACTGTGTAAGTTTTTGATATTAGATAATAAAGAAAAGTAACTCATAAGTTTAAGATGCAATAGTAGTATTACGCATTCTAAATTACTTATCCTTACATCTTATTAATAATCAAGTACATGATTTTACTGATCACATCTGGATCATCAATTAAGTGAGTTTGGTATTCTACTCCTGTAAATATATTCTTGAGAGTGTATCTGCATTTTGATTGATCTTTCTAGCTCTATAAGTGATAATAAAGTTGTATTCCATTATGGTCATTATCCATCTTGAAATTCGAGATTCAGAATTAATTTGTTTGGTAAATAGCCATCAAAGTGCATTATTATCAGTAATGATTTCAAAAAGAGATTCAAGAAGGTAATGTCAAAATTGTCTAACAGTCCAGACTATAACCAGAGCTTCTTTTTCAGTGACACTATAATTCTTTTTAGCCAGTTTTAATGAAACACTTGCATAAGCTACTACTCATTCTCTTTCTTCATCATCTTTTTGAGATAATACTACATCAAGTCCAGAGTCAGAGACATCAGTATAAAGATAGAATTTCTTGGTAAAGTCAGAATAAATTAAGATTGGAGCAGAGATAAGTTTTTCTTTCAAAGTCTGAAATGCATTTTCTTGATCTTCAATCCAAATGAAAATGATATCATTCTTTAGAAGTTTAAACAGTGGTGTTGCTATTTATGAGAATCCTTTAACAAATTTTCTGTAATATCCAGCTAATTCTAAGAATGATCTAAGCTTTTTGATATTTATTGATATAGGAAACTCTTAAATTTGTTAAATAGTTGAGAGATCAGATGAGATTCCATCTTGAGTAATAATATGTCCTAAAAAGAGTAAGTTATCTTGAGTAGAGATGAGAGCTACAACTAGCTGCAACTCTGTTGCAATTCTCTGATTGGCTACTGTAACTCTGTCGCAATTCTCTGATTGGCTGCTGCAAGCTGCAATTAATTGAGGAGCCATCTTTAATCTTGAGTAAAGTTATATTTTTCTAAATTAAGTTTTAATCCAGATTCTCTAATTCATTGAAAAACTTTTTGTAGGTGTTCTAGATGCTCTTTCCATGTTTTTGAATATACATTTATATCATCAATATAGACCATGGCGAATTTTCAGTTATAGTCTCCAAGTATACTATCCATAGCTTATTGAAAAGTTGCTGGTACATTGCAAAGTTCAAAGAGCATAATTTTGAATTTGTATAATCCTTTTCTTGAGATAAATGCTATCTTTTCAATACTGGATGGTTTCATTTTGATTTGCCAATAATCAAATGTAAGATCCATAGATGAAAACCATTTTGCATCTTCAAGATTATCCATCATTTTATCAATTCATGGTAAAGGGTAAGCATCTTTCTTAGTGAGAGTATTAAGTTTTCTGTAATTAACACAAAATTATTTCTTGCTATTTTTCTTTGCTACTATTATAATAGGTGAAACCCAGGGACTATTGGATTTTTGGATAATATCTGCATCTAACATTTATTGGATTTTATCATGAATAAATTCTTGATCAGGTAGAGTTGCTCTGTAGGCCTTTTGATGAATAGGCTTTTTATTTCCAGTATCAATAAAATGTTGAATAATATTGGTTCATCCAAGTTTATTAAGATCTGCTGCAAAAATATCTTTGTATGCTTGTAATAAGTTATGT